CTTCACGCGCAGTGAAAAAGACAGAGCGAGAAATAAGATAGATAGAGAGAAAATGTGACGTACAAGTGACATACAAAGGTACCTTGGGGACGGATGTTGGATCGGAGCTTCGCTAAATTGCCTTTTCCCGCGAGGGCCAGCACGTGGAGCTCAATGATGCCAGCCACGAGATTCAATCACTCCGGACCCGCTGCAGACAGAAGTTGATGCTGACATCAAGACGTTCAGGGCAACTGTCTCGTCCTTGCACTGACAACTGAGTGTGTTTTATTAAGACTTACAATGACACTCAACTTGAGGCATCAGGGTTGCGATTCAGATGATGTTTGGCCTCGTCCATTCTCGTGGAGAGGCAAGAAAGACACAAAGCCCACATGTAGGTGCACGATCGCCAGCAAGTCCTCATAGTATGCATCTCACCTTTGGCCGCAAGCCCAAACCCAGACCCAACCTACTCCTGACAACCCTTCAACCCATGCTGAGCCTCGCAGGAACTCTCTTGGAGCTGTCGAGCAGCAGAAGCTGGTACGTCGGCAATCGATCTCAGCATCCAGGCTAGGGCTTCGCGATGGGACAGCTTCCATGTTCGCGCTGTTATCAAGGGCGAGCGAGTCAGAAAGACGTCGAGCAATGTTTGCCCGCACTGGCCTTGGTGCTCCGACTTACTGTCGAGCTTACCAAGCAAAGCTAAGTTGGCATCGCCGAATCGGAACTTTTGCGTTCACGACATCTGAAGAGGTACACCAATGCATGTGCAAGCACACACAAAGCATCCGTACCTGCTGGATCGACAATCTCCGTGCAGAGACATACGATGCGATGCAAACTCGGGACACTGCATGTTGGTTCCACCAAGATTTGCAGCTCCTGATGTCGCTTCCATATCTCTCCTTGTACTGGAGATCTGCCTCGAATATTTTCTCTCTTCATTTCCACCTTGCTAATGGTGACAACGATGGCAATGAAGAGGAACAAAAAGATGATCGACAGGCTTTGGCTGCTGGTAGTACACCAGCAAGAAGAACAACTGCTACCTGCCGCAACGGGTACTGGTAAGGCTATTTGCGCGTACTGCTATGGCTATGGCAATGCTATGGCCACCGCCTCCGCCGAAGCTACTGCGAATGGCCTCTCCGCCTCAGCTGTCTACTCCTGTCCCTTCCTTCGGTGGCTTCCCCAAAATACCTCCTCGAGCCCTGCGGTATGGAATCAATTGTTGTTGCCCTCGAAGTCTTATGGACTGGGCGTGTTGCCGCATTTTGCAGCAATTGTTGTCGCAGGCACAAGACCCATGAGCTTCAAGACGCTTGGTGGCACTTAAGACTTAGGGCTGATTCGCTATGAGCAGTCATGATGAATGGTCCGGCCGAGAGTGAGCACTAGCAAAAGAGTCCATGTCAAGGCACATAGTTCCACAAATCACTGCATGTCACTCATAGTTCTAAGTTCAGCATGATGACAGCAGATGACAGGAAGCGATTGCGACCTCGAGCCGCGAGGAGCAGAGTCTGGCTGCTGAGCTCCAAGCACCTGGGCCTGTCTTAATTTTGGTTGCTGTTTCACCAAATTCCTCTTCAGGCCGGCCGTTGGACCGGGTTCGTTTGTGGGTGTGTCTGGGTTTGGGGTGCTTGCTAGACTCTTAACTTTGAGCCCGCTAGGTCGAGGTCCTTTTTTTGTTTCGCTTGCCCCCGGAGCCCTAGTAGTTTCAGAATGTCGCGCATTCGGAACCACGTTTTACAAAATAGCGATGAGAGATAACTAAGCGTTTCAAGTCTCGTTGTTGGCTCAAGAGTTGTAAAGTCGAGGCCATTAAGTTAAAGTTGTCCCCCAAGAAAGTAGAGCGGAAGCTCGGCATGTGAATCTGCTCGAGTGATAAATAAGCTCGGAAGCAACAAAACTTCGCAGAAGCTGAGTAGCCCCATGTAAGTGTTTCGCAGGAATGCAGCGCAAGGCCCGATGTAATGTTGTCTTGCTTCCATCAGCGTTGAACTCTGCAAGCTTCTTGGAGGAAACTCGCTAATCCACTTTCTTGTCATTTCAATGGAAAGCATCTTGTCCCGGCAGCAAAGCAAGTGCCCAAGCCCCTTTTGAAATGCGGTCCTGAGAGTGAGGGGCCACCGCTAGGTTTATTTGGAGGAAGTCGTGCGTGACGCCTGGCACAGAGACTTTTGTGATGTCAATGTCAATAGCTACAGAGCAACCTCGATTTCCCTGGCTTGTAGAGTCGGGGGAATAACTGGTTGACGAGTTCAGGCCCCTGCGGCAGGTTTGTCAGGGAGCTATGGAGGATCATCTCTTGACCTGTCTTCGTCACTAGGTTTGAGGCCGATGCTTGCATGGAGGATTCAGACTTGGATTGAGCCAGCTTGTAACAAAAAGCAGATAAAGATTTCTTTATGTTTTTGTTCATTTATAGGTTTGACTCTTTGGCCAAGCTCTGGTCTGTCAAGTCTCAAATTCATGGGGTGTGCACTAAACATGCTGGGATGACTTCCTAGGCAATTCTGAGTATTCTGATTTGTTACTTGCACACGGCCCTGTGTTAAAACCCCCACATTGAGCTTTAGCCTTGAGTCTTTGTCCGGATGTTGGCCCGTCTTCACGCTTTGCGTGCGGAAGCCTTGGACATTTTCGTCCGGGGGGCTTACCTCTGAACTCAGGAAAGCGCTTTGCTCGAGGAGGCGGCTGCGAAGAGGGCTGCCGTTCTCACGCAGGCAGCATGCCACAAGTACTACAACTCCCGTGCTTTCTGTTGGAACTGCTGTTCTTTGCTTCTTCGACTGTCATTGACAGTGCTGCAGCTCTGACACTGCTCTTGTTGATACTCGTGCGAGTTACTGTCGCGGCTATCACAGGCTCCACCAGTGTCTCTTGGATCTGTATCGTACGATGACGATAGGACTAACGATGGTGGTGGTGGTGGCGATGGTGGTAATGACGATGACCAGGACGATAACGATGTGATCTGATGTGTTGTAACTTCCTGGTACTGCTTGTGTGACCATCCCCAAGCTAATCGTTTCCAGCATAAGCAGCACTACCACGAGAGTCGATGTCCGTGTATGTCTCAGATGGTCATTTCTGCATACATTCATGTGCTGGAAGTCGTGCTGGCCGCCAAGTGCACCTTTCGATCAGAGACTGAAGACTTGAACCGAAACGACAGATTCAGATACTGTCATCTGATCTTGTCGGCCTCACCCAGAGAGGTCGTGAGGCAGGCTGTGGGCAGCTATTTCTGTGGATGTATACCCTTGTCTAGTCATATCTACTTGTCAGCCTTCCTTGCACGGTGATGGCACCTTCGCAAGCCTCCTCGAGACTATATCGTGTAGTGCTGGTGCGTGCTTCGAACCTGTGTTTGTGTTCGAGATAGAAGATTTCAGTGCTTTGTGTAGGTATAGTTCCAGTTCAACTATGACTGATGAAGATTAAAGGGTTGGAGGACGAGAGTTGAAGCTGATTCCGCACGAAGATCACGGTGGAGAGGCTGATGCCAGTAGGATGACTCAGTCTTGCATCATATCCAAATCCCAGCTGGTCCCAGCTTCTGCAGTGACGAAGCGCGGTTGCATCGCAGTCTTCCTGCAGCCCTGCCCTTCCAGCCTAGCTCCCCAGGTGGATCGCACGGAGCAGAGCACGCAAGACAGTGCTAACTCAGGCATGGATGCACAGGACTGCGTGGAATTACGGAGATGTCCGACATTATTAATGGTGGTGGGGGTACAGTCGGCTCATACATGATTGTGTTTGGATTGGCTGCAGGCTAGCAGCACTAGCTACAGGTAGCTGCAACAGCCGACAAAGGATCTCTTTCCCACGATGCTGTGCTTGATGGTTCCAGACAGCGACTTCCGACTAGCTGACTAGCTCTTGAAGCCGTAAACATGACCCCAGAAGTGAGCAGTGCTTTTCCGCAGCAGCGACAGGCTTCCACAAAGCTTTTGTTTGGTAGCTGGCCGTGATAGTTGGGCGGCCTGCCCTAGAGCTAGAGACTATAGAGATAGGCGCCCCATGTACCACTCCATGAATGCACAAGGAGAGACATAATGTAGGGGCCTTCATGATAAGACTAGTGTTTTGGGCGGCTTCTTATTATTTGTATCTATAGTAAATAATATCCCCTTCAAACTCTTAAGTTTTAAGACCTAAACCCTGAACCCTAAACGAGCTACAGGAGAGCTGCTCGGGAGTCCAGTTCGCCCTGCAGAAGGCCGTTCGCGAGGCAGATAACTTGCAGAACGACGCCGGGCCTGTTTCATGTAATATAGGGGCCTCAATAGTTGGAATAGGGTTTTGGGGTATATTATACTATGATCAGAATAAGGAACCCCCCAGAACTTTATTCTAATTGTTAAGACTCCTACAGTAGGTAGAACTCCTTTGAAAGCCACTGGAAAAGTCCGCAGGGTTGATCGTCGATGGTCCGTCATCTTCTATTACCGGTCCTTCCAGTTCTGGCATTGCTTAATTTCGGTCGGACCCTCCCAACTCCCCGTTTTGAGTTGCAGAGGCCTAGCTTTGCTTGTCATCAGGAGTGTGCCGGACAGGCTGTTTGATAGCCTTGAGGTTTTCGGGAAATCTGAGAAGAAAATTAATAAATGTTTCAGAGCCCTTCCATCTAAGCTGCTAGAGACCCCAAGCGCTGCTTGAGCAGAGGAGTTGGCCAGTGCGCACTACCACAGCACACGGTGACCTATCTGAGTTATTGGCGTAGGCTTGAGGCTCCGTCTGTGGGCAATTTCAAGCTGGCGCGAGAGTCCTGTATGAAAGTTGGGCTGCTCTCACGTAGCCCCGCGGTTGCTGGTGGACCACCACTCCTGTTCGTGCTGCTGTGAGTGGTACAAGCATAACTTCGACTGCTGGTGCGGCTACGATACATGATCTTGACGCCTGCTACTACGATCCGGACGGCCAAAATCATTCCTGTTTCTGGGTGTCGTACTTGTATAATTTTATGCTGAACACATCAGACGACCGGACCCAGGCAGCGCCGCTTCATGGCCGCGGAAGAGACCGAAGCCTCCTGGCAATACGAGAACACCTGTGAGGCCGAATACGCTTGATTTGCCATTTGGGTCATCTGTTGTGGACTGGTCATTTGCGATAATCAAATTGCACTACTACCTCTTCATCCCTCTTGCCGTTCCCTGGTTTAGATGAGAAAGGTTTAGGCGTCAAAGGTCGAGTTCTGCAGTATCTCGGATCAGCGGGCAGTGCCTCGGGAAGGACTTCCCTGTAAACTGTCGGTACAGGTTTCTGAAAGTGGCATCGTTTGTGGCAAGTTGCCTGTTGCGTTTTCATACTTGTCCAGACTTCGCAACAAGCTCCAACCCAACGGGTCATGTGAGGCATTGCTGCAGTGAGGGCTAGGAGTTGCCAAACCCAACCAGGCAGTAGTTGATCAACAGGTATGCTTTCCTGCTCGTGGGACATTCTGGGAAATCATTGCCGTTTGAACCGCAAGGCTGCAAGCATAGCGAGATATATTCAATAACCATTGCCACACTGGCACTACAAATACACCAGATTACGACTCAAACCGCGACAAGTGCTGCCTCGTTATCAGCGTAATTGTGTTTGCACAGGAAATGTTTAGTATGGGGGCCTTGCGTGTGTGTGTGTGTGTGTGTATTTATGGACAAGCTGGGTTCACTGGGGTTCATTGCCAGAAACTGCATCGTAGGTTCGTCCTGAGGGGCCCTTTTCAAGGGGAGGCCCAAAATAGGCAGATGGGGCACCATTGCACACTTATGCGGCATTGACATGTGTTTGCTATTATTGTCATATTTTCAGAGAGTTACATGCAGGGTGGTAATCGGGCAGTTGCGATACGGTCGCTACGAATTTCGAATATTACTGCTGCGATATTGTGCGGTATGGTATTGCATTTTTTGCGGTGCTTGCGGTTCGTTGGGGTTCCCACCCCCCACCCCACCCTCCCCCGCCACCTCCGCCGTGGATGATGTGGAGGGTAAGGGGGGCAGTTGGAGGTGCTGGGGATTGGGGCAATGGGAGGGAGGTGTGGTGGGATTGGTTTGGGAGGGAGGTGGTGGGAAGCGATACTATCGGTCCGGTAAGCCATGCACTGCCCTTTAAAACGTGACATATTTGTATTGTTAGGACAGCCCTGCTGCATGGAAGGCAAAAGATGCCAACTCGGAAAGCCGACAATGTGTGGCTGGGCCCGAATGCTATGTTGTGAGCGAGGTGTCTTCTGCTGGCCTTGGTCACCTCATGGCTTTTTTGGTGAAAGCTGAGAAAGGGGGGGGGAGTGTCATATAAGACGAGACAGCAGCATCACTGAAACTCAGGTGGATGCTCTCGAAGAAGAGCGCCGGCGACTCGTCTTGCGGCTCCAAGAACTGGAAGATGCCGAGCGGGAGGGCGACGAGCTGGAGGTGAAGCTGGGTCAAGCACGGGACGAGGGTGCCTTCCTGAAGACGGCACTCGGTGACCTCTATCAGCTTGTGGCGGATCGAAACGCTGTTCTGGAGAAGGTGTGTAGCGAACACAGCGCGTTGCGAAGTACACTTGAGGAATCGCAGCAGCAAGCACGCCTGGCTCAGGACGAGGCGAACGAGCTGGCTAGTGAGAGGGACGAGACGCATTCGCGGTGCCGTCAAGAGCACGAAGAGCTGCAGAATGCAGAAGTCAGGATGCAGGATGCAGAAGGAGCCATGGAGCGGGAGCACCAGGAGACGCAGTCCAAAGTAGTGGAGGCAAGTCGACAACGTGACACTGCACATGAGCTGGTTACGAAGCTGAACGACAACATCACCTCTAATCTGCAGCAGCGCTTGAAGGGCCTGGAAGACGAAAACAAGCATCTGCAGGGCAAAATCTCCTTCCTCGAGGGAGATTGTGACAAAATCTCTGCTGAGAACACAGAACTGGAACAGACGATTGAGGAAGTCAAGAAGAAGCCCAACTGTGTGATATCTTGAGGTCATTCCGGAGTCCGGGAAGATGCACTGGGTCAGGTTGTGCAAAAGGCACGTCCGTTTCTTCAGGCAGAGCGCAGGCAGAGCTGAAGGGTGGAGGGCCTGGGCAAAATGGTTCTTCCATGCACTGGGGTATGCAATGCCCGGATGTGCTGTAGGTTTTGAGACCAGCTCTATGCGCGCCGAAGCTTGCAGGCATCGCATCTACTTCCAACCATGTAGTTTATCTTGCATATTGCTGATCCATATGGTGGCCCAAACTTTCTCGAGCCAGTGTAAAGGAGCCTGCCCTATTGGAGCAAAGGCAAACCATGCATTCACCTTGGCATAGGTGTGTACAGAGACCAGAAACATACCATTCGCTACAAAGCTATTCGATGAGCAAGTCGCTAGTTCTATATCGCAATCCCTGCAGTTCCTTGCGCAAGATAGCGCCCCAGCCATGCCTACTCGTTTGGCTTGTCCCTAAGCCTGCTAATCAGGTTGATGCAAACTGGCATGTTGTACAGAGCCCGAGAAGTCCTCAACAGGTGCCAGTCTGAAGTCCCATACAGTGGTTCGAACCAAGTATGTACTGTATGCGGTAATTCTAGGCTTCATGCTGTCTGGCTGACTTACAGCTGGAGTAAAGTGCTTAGGTCTGAATGCACAAACATCGCGTGTCCTTCCCTTTACTGTTACAAGTACGTGCTCGTCTTTGCTACTGCCAGTATGACTACCATTCTACCTTGGCCCTCGTTTCCGGCGTTAGCCTCATGAAAATCGTGGGGGAGCGAGCTCTGCTGATGGGCGAAGGCAAAAAGCTGCTTTTGCTCACTTCTCGGGCAGGGATCGCTGTACGGGCCCGTAACGGGGTGCATGCCTTTGTTTTTTTGTTTTGTGTGTTCTTGTGTCTGTGTGTGCGTGTCTGGGGGTGTTTGTGTCGTCGTGTACACATGAACTGCAGTCTGTGGTTGCGTACGCAAGGAGCAACCGAACAGCCACTAGCATGAAGAGCACCATTGGACCATGCACATGTCGCAATGTATAAACAAGCTGAAGCTGAAACAACTACATGTAATCACAGATACTCCTGCTGAGTGCATCTGCGTGTGCGTTCGTGCCTAGGCATGGTGGCGGGTGTTGTACATGCACATCTGCCATATGTATGCATGGCAGTTGTATGTACGTATGTACGTATGTACGCATGCATGCATGCATGCATGCATGCATGTACGTGCCCATGTATGCATGCATGTACGTATGTATGTATGTTGTGCGTAACTATGTTCGTAATATTCAGGGTTTGTTGATTGTACAAGTATATATTATGCATGCCTGACTGTACACATAGATTTGTAGGTGGTAGTTCGACAGGCCGTCATGAACTTATGAACGCGAGCTGGACTGAGAGGTAGATGGAGTCTTTTAAAGATTGCTAGACTGTTGCATGGAGGTACAGCTAACAACGGGCATGACAGGAAGATGCTAATGTACGAATGCTTTCCATGACAGAGTTGCAGAGTAATGCACACCTGCATGGTGCATCCGATGCAGTTCTAGGCTGTGAGGACACTGATATTGATATTATAGGGAATGGCATATATGCTGCACCGGCCTGTGGTGCTGCATGTTCCGGTTTAGCGCCGTTCATGGGGGTTGTACGGATACGCAGCTGTCCAAGGAGCGAGGGAATGCATTCAACATCTACTGAATCTACTGCATGGCTTCGGGGTCGGGGTTCAGTGAGCACTTCAGCAGGCTTACGGGGGCCGTTTTATCAGAACTATGAGCAGTCGAGCGCCGATAGCATTGCCTGTCAGCTGCGCAACCAGCTTATAAAGATATTTCGCAGGCTCCGCACTGCGGGAGCGCGACGCCACGCCGGCGGCAAGCTTACAAAGTGCAGACGCTCCATCGTTTACACAAGCCATCACAAGCCACAATTGGCACCGGAACATCTAGCCCAGCCGTAGATATAAATAGCCACATGTGTGGAATGAAGTGTTCTAAATTGAACACAATCTACGTCCGGACCATGCCAAGGCAGGGGATTGAGCAAAGACCACGAAAGTGTAAAGCCCGTATCTGATTTAATTTGCAAACCCTGGTTCCGAACGTGCCAACTCTAGGCAAAGGAGATCAACACTCTCTAGAGCCACAGTCGGTGCCCACGGCCTTTGCAGAAGAGTTTGGTGTCTCATGAGGCTGCTCATTCAGTACCGGCGACTGATGGCCAACTATGTATACATCCCATACGAAGCCCAACCGGAAGACATGAAACTCGTTGGAAAATGGCTTTGCTGGTGAGGGCTGTCCGCTGGTGCTGAGAGCTTGATCTATTTTATAAGAGACTTGATATGACTTGATGTGCGGGTGCTTTAAGCCTCAAGCTATTGCTTAGGTTTGAGCTGGAAATCAATTCGGATTAGAGCAGTCGTCGTGCCCCAGAGTCCGCGAGAGAGCGGGAGAAAGAATTTTAATCACATGCCTGACTGGATTGCTATAAAGTTCCTGTTACGTCGATGTAAGGACGTAACTCGAGTGCCTGAGAGGTTACAAGAATGCGGTTCAGATCCGGCTAGCTGGTTTGCACGCGACTTTTGTTCTGATCTCCTGCAGAGCAAATATTGGAGCTAAGTTTGAAGTAGTGGAAAGTTTATAGTGACGGAACATTGCAGGCATCCCGGGACTATTCATGCATTTTGCTTGAAAGTCCGGTTCCAGGGCATTCTTGAGCTTGAAATACCAGCCAAAAAGCAGCTGCACGGCTGCTCGAAATACGCACCGTGTAGTTGCTATACACAAGAACCCCATTCAGACACGACGTATGTCAGCCCCGAGCAATCGCACACCACTGGCTGCAGCCTTCCGAAAATCTCCTTTCACCTATCCCGATTCGAAGCACGGTCCCCATATAGCTGACTGAAGCCATGGCACCGAGTGCGGGCGGTGGGGCAGGTGGGGGCAGATATTTGCAAGCGTTTCAGATTTCGAAGTTCTGCATATGTACATGAAGGCTGGGTCTAAAGCAGAGTTCAAGCGCACATACAGAAGATACCGCATAAAGTTCTTGTACAACACAAGAACAAAAACTCGTTGCCTCGGTTGATTGATAAAACGCTCTTGCCACACATCTGATGTGTTGTTGTGTAACATGACAGAGCAGCATTGGCTTTCGGGGTCATACTTCCCGATCAATCACAACCACAAGACGCAGAGAATTGAAGAAGCTGTCATATTAAATGGCCTCATATCTTGATTAGTATACTATGGTGTATTATGGTTTACTATGGTATGTGAGTTGTACCTGCTTTTGTCCAGATCCCTTTGTGCCCGCTCCTCAGCTCGTTCCAAACACACGGTACAAAGATTAACTATCAGAAAATGATCCCAGGGGCTGACTGTAATTCAAAAGGTTAACCTTTTTGGGGCTAGGGCACTCAGCCCCTAAGTTATAAGCTTTGCCAATAAAAACCATTCCTTGGCGTGGTTGTGAGGTCTCTCCTTGTTCGAGTAGCTCTTGTTCTTTCATGTAGGATTCGTGCCAGTCCGCTTCGCATGTTTAGCTTTGTGGAAGCCTTGCAGCGCAGATTGCAGTAAGGTGTAGGGCAGTTGGGCATAAACTAACGGTACAGAAATGCATGTGCAAAGCTTTAAAGTCTGAAGCGGGAGGCGAGGGCTTCATGCCCATACATCATTTCACTGACCTCCAACCAGAGCCGCAGTCTGCGCTGCTGGGCTGGGGCCACAGGGGCGTTGCGAGTGATGGTGCGGAGAGCTTGTTGTCCGCAGTGAAAGCTTTCAACTTAACTTGAAGCAGCTCTTGAGTCATAACGGTTTCGTGAGGGCTACACTGGGTCCTACAGGCATATACAGGCATCACCCTCAAGCACCAATGGCGAGATGCGAAAATATCGGCAGGCTGCAGAAGCACAGATGACTTTAGCCGAGAGGTGAGAAAGGCCGTGAGGGAGGCCAGTCGCGAAATGAAAAGGCATGCAAGGAACTGTTCAGAATTTCTTTTAAGTCACAACTTCTTACGCTGCCAGAAGGTTCCTGCTGAGAATGTGTCTATGGTCTTGATAGGTCACGTTCTTCTGGCCTGGCCCGATGAGCACTAGCGTTTGGAGAAGCAAGGGCTCCACGCGGAAAGCCGGAAGTTTTCCCTCAGAGGCTACATGGGAATTGCCTTTCCTCGTCTCTGATTGCCTGTGCAATCTGTTTCCCATGACCAGCCTTATAAGATTTGCATTGTGTCTATACCATGCTTGAATAAGTGGCCTGCTTGCTTGGACTGTTTTGTCGTGGCCGTAGGGTCGAAGATTGAAGAGTGCTATCAGGCCAAGGTTTCATCTCGCCCGACTTCAGCACGCGGGGGGCTCGAGTTCGGAAGCTGCCCTCAGTTCCGTGAATTTGGGGCTCATAGGGCTTGTCTTCGAGCTTCCGCCTGGGCTTGGTCACAGAAGAGGTCGAGTAGCACCGCGCCCTATAATGAAACCCGGAACCCTGCCAAGCCGCACGATCCGCACGAGTCCCTGAAGTTTCCCAGCGTCCATAAGTGTCCCATTACGGAAGATGCTCTTCCCAGATGGCAAAGTTTCTTTGAGTGACGATGAGTCTTACTCATATTATCGCGATCCGCATTTGTTTTCTTCGGGTTGATGTTGGGATTACGGTTCTGTCAGTCCAGGTACTACAAAAGTCATGCTAGTGCCTACCCCTGCTCCTACCGCTATCATTGCTGCCACTGTTGCTCTTTACTGCGACTGCGACTGCGACTGCTGCTACTGCTACTGCTACTGCTATTGCTACAACAACAACAACAACTACTACTACTACTACTACTACTACGACTCCTGCTGCTGCTACTCCTGCTACGACTACTACTACTGCTACTTCTACCACTACTAGTACCACCACTGACTGCCACTACTGCTACAACTACCATTACCACTACAACATCACTACCACTACCACTGCCACTGCGACTGCCACTACCACCACTACCACTACCACCTTCACGACTAACTAGTACCACTGCCACCACTACCACCGACCACATACACTATCACCACCACGACTACCACCGCCACCACCCTCACCACGACCACTACCGCTTCCGATCGCACGCCGGCGACGACTAGTTCTACCAGCACCACTACCACCACCGCCACCACCACCGCCACCACCACCGCCACCACCACCGCCAGCACCACTACGACAACGACGGCTATGACTTCTACTGCTACAGCTGCGACTGCGCCTGCTACCCTGAAATTGCCCTGTCACTGCTACCGCTGGTGCTACTGCCACGGCTAGTATTACAACGACGACCACGACAACGACGACTGCTGCTACTCATTTTGCTCCTCCTCCTCCTCCTCGTCCTCCTCCTTTTCCTGTTGCTTCCTCCTTCTTGTGCTGCTACTAGTAATTTCGACAGCCCTACTTTGTAATGTTGCCGAGGCAACATGTTTGACGGCGACAGGCATGCTTTAGAACAGCGATAACACCATGTATTTCGGTAATATATATATATATATATTCATTTATTTATTTATGTAATTAATGGGGCCCAAGCGCCTAGAAGTCAACACTCCTCCTCCGTGTGGGCAGACCCTGAGACCACAGGGGTGACATTCGCGCGCTTCTGGCGAGACTCGTGAAGCAGGCGTTGGCGCCTCCCACCGGCTGGGGATTTCGGGTTCGGAGGTCAACTGCGGTTGTTGACAGACAGCTCGTGACGACTGGCAGTCGGTGTCATGTCTCAGCCGTCGGGCTAACAAAAGCTGACCCTATGGCCATGTGGCCATGTTTGGCTTCCTCGCAGGAGCACTGCAGACTGATAAGCGTCGGTGTTGCCGTTGTCCCTGCTGCGGTGTGTCAGCAACCGTAGCAAAAGCCCAAATCGTGAAGCACCAGAAGCCCTGAACACCTCGGCACAGACGGAGTCAATGGAGAAGGCCGCAAACCACGGAGAGCAGGCTGGTATGTTTCTGTTGTGTTCGGCCTTGGGTTGGGCTTTGAGTTGTCAGACCCTCCCATTAAGGATGTTCCTGTCTTCAAGACTTTGCAGGACGGTGTCTGGCAGCCGCATGCGAAGAGCCTCGCCCTTCTTTTCCTTGCCCAGGCCCTTGTTGCCGCCGGTGGTGCTGCAGAGCAGGCCGAGACGGGTGAGATGTGTATGTATTTTTAAAGCATATATGTATGCACAGACAGATATATATGTATAGATAGATACACACGTATGTACAGCTATGTATATGCGCATACATATGCTGCATATGCAGTATGTTAACAATATTTAACGGTATTCATGCGAAAATGAGCATGCATGTGTGTGCCCCCATGAACGTATGCATGCATGTCCAAACGCATGTATGCATCTATAGATGGATGCGTGAATGAATGCAAGTATTCGCAACCCTTCCTCGAAGGCAGCACGCCATGCGGACCGAGCCGAAAGGCTGCCAGCAGCGGCAAAGCGCTCAGAGAGCTCAGGCTTTGAGGGCTTTTCTTCTCTGCGCTGAAGAACCCGTCGGTTTAAGTGGTGGAAGGCTGAAGAAGCTTTCAGGGGTTTTGGGGGCCTCAGCTTTTCGGAATTTGCAGTTATGAATCGAGGGCAACAGTGTATGGCACTCCACACTTAGACTTTGCGTGGCCTGGCTGACTAGCTTCTGCCAACTGTCAGAGGGGATCCGAGCTTCCAGGGTTCCTTCCGGGTGGCTGAGGTATAAGTTTGCCGTGAATCCTTGCAGGCCCATGTTTAACTACGGTCCAACCAAGCGTGTGGTGACTTCGTTGTTAATGACAAAGGCGAATAGTGAACAGTCCAGATCTCTTCATCTCGTATCTACTTCCCGGGATTGAAAGGAAGCGCCGGGACCAAAGACGGCTTCGACCCATCGTCAGAAGCCCTACCCCGTGAAGCTGTCATTCGAAAGCCTACCCTGGCCCAGGAGCCTGGGACGGAGGCGATGGGCGAGTTCGAAGGCTTTCTGCCGCCGAGGCGGTGTTCCACGGGACTCTGTTCAGTGATGGGATGTCGGGTTGATGGTTTTCATCAGGTTCCGTGTAAACTGACGAAGGTAGCAGCAGTCGAAAAACTATCGCTGTGAGTCGAGCAAGTCGGGCGCTGTTCTGCAGAAATTTGCTTTCTCCAGTCGTATATATAGTCGTTGTTGTTGTTTGGCCCCCAAACCCCGCCCGATCCTGAAGTTTCTCTCGCGAGAGGCTTAAGAATTTGAAAGATGAAAGGCTGTTTGAAGCTTCCTGGCCGAGGTGGTGGATCACTTATGGCCGGAAAGCCATGGGAAGCTGCCATGTACTGCTTCCCATGGCTTGTGCCACTCGGCGACAGGTACCATGATAGTTTCGTCTGCTCAAGCTGCTCCGGCTCTGAATGGTACGGCTGATGGACAAAATCCTGCATGACCCTATATACCTAGACTATGGGATTCATGGTACTATACTATATTTGGGTCATGCAGAATTTTGTCCATCAACAGTATCACGCTTGCCGTCGCTAAGGGTGCGTCAGTTTTGTGTAGCTCGTCTTGGGGCCGCAAGGCCGCAAGGCGTGCTTTCCTAATTCTGTGGCCGATACAACTGCTAAGCTCGTTTCTGTTGCAGCGTGTTTTCCTGAATAATACTGCCATAATACTGGTAATTACAGCATTGAAACAAGTGGCTTCGTTGGCTGCTATATCAGGTCCAAGGAAGCCCTACTTTGAGAGGGCTCTGTTCATCCAGAAGCCGCAGGAGCTACGCATGGGTTGGGGCGTGATAGTTCAGGTATACCTTAGGCAAACCTGTGCAGAGATGCCCGGGCTCGTGCTGCGTATAGTGGGCCCAGGCAAGTTCACCGGGTTTTTGTTGCCCTTTCCCGCGGCAAGTCCCCCTCCAGGCCCACGCATGCCAAACTCAAGACTGCGATGATCGCCCTAGTCTCAAACATCAGACGCTCGAAGTCCCGAACCCTGGGCTCTCAACGCCTGTCGAGCTGAGAAACCCGGTTGAAGTTGCAGAAATGTTCTCTTCGAGGAGAGACGCTTCCGAAGTTGGCCAGGTTCCCAGATATTCGTGGAACGGCTCAAGGCACACCAGGAGCCGCCTCCGAAGTGCCCTTGTAAGAACATTATAGAAGCATAGCCTGTGAATGAAGGGAGGATATTTTCTCTGAGGGCTTGGAAGAAGACGTGCAGCTTACGACTCACGAGACGCATTGAAGTTGTCGGCCTATTCCCTGTATTATAGTACCTGTCTCCCAGTTGCCGCCTGGACAGCATAGCTTCGCGGCTCAGGCAGGTTTCTTTGAGAGCAGAACTGCCCATCTCCGAGCATGGGCAGCGGCCGGACGCAGAAGGCTGAGGGCAGCAGACAGGCCCTGCAGGTCTGTGGCTAGAGATCAGGCTCTGCTAAAATTCAGCAGGCCATGTTCTCGTAGCGTGTGACTTATGGGCGGAAGAAAGACTCAGCCGCCCATGGCTCTTGAAGCCGCATCCGGTCGGAGTGAAAGTCAGGCCGGCTGAAGGAAAAAAGCTCCGTTTCCAGAGGGGGCAATCATGCAAACCCAGCCGCGATTGCAAATCAAATTGTCGCATCGCATGGGCGCATCGATATGGTGGACCTGCAAACCGCAAGCTGAGCCTCGACAGCGTACCGAACACCTACTGCATACATGCACACAGGCGTCGTCACAGACATCAGAAAATACACCAGCAGGAACTGAGAGACGGAGAGAGAGAGAGAGAGAGCACGACACACACGCACACTCACATAAGCAGCACAACGACCACAGACAGACTGACTGACTGCATGTGTGTGTGTGTGTGTGTCTCTCCATAGTACTTGTAATGACTCGGTACTCTCGCGCAGACAACTTATGCATACATCCATTCGTAATTACACACATGCATGCATGTATGCATTTATGCATGCGCTCATGTACCTACATACCCTTAGATGGCCTGTCTCAGAAAGTTTGAGTGTTTTGGGCCCGGCTATTGAATAAGAGAGAGTACCCACATGCATGCATGCATGCATGCATGCATGGAGTTGTTCTGGGGTACCCCAACAAATAACACTGTTTCCGGCCTGTAGTTTGTTGGAAGCAGGGCCCCAGAAATCACCTCTGTTCAAGTACTATTCTACTGTTACTAGCAATGTCACTAGTACCAACTTTTGCTATGACTATTGCTATGACTATTCTTATGATCACAAATAACTAGTACCGTTACTACTACGATTACTATTGCTGTCACAACAGCAGCAGCAGCAGGACCACCACGACCACCACCGCCACCACCACCAACAACGGCAACAGCAACAGCAGCACCAGCAACAACAATTACTACTACTGCTGCTGCTGCTGCTACTACTACTACTACTGCTACTACTACCTACTACTACTACTACTACTACTACTACTACTACTACTACTACTACGACTACTAGGACTAGTACTAGTACTAGTACTACTACTACTACTACTACTACTACTACTAC